ATTGCCGAGCGCATGCGTGATCTCGGCAGCTTTGTGTCGCACGTCTGGAGCCTCTACGCGACCGCTTGGCTCCACGCTCTGCGGTATCCCGACGAGCCGCCAGTTGTGCCAGCCGGCGTCCTCGCGCGACTGTTTATCTTTCTCCGTATTCCTCAGGAAGCCTTGAGCGTCACTGTGACGACGACCATGGCGACGACGATCGACGACGCGTGTCCGATCTGCTTGGAGAACTTTGCCTCTGCGACCGTCTTGGAGCTGGCGTGCGGTCATGGCTTTCACGTATCGTGCTTGCGTGACTGGCTGGCGATCACACCGCGCTGTCCGACGTGCCGCGGAGCACCCGGATCGATCGCACTCCATGTCACTCCATAGATAGATCCGATGGTTCGCACAATAATGGCTCGGTTAACAAAGTGACGACTGCATCGTGAATTCGTATGAAACATTCAATGGACAGTATTGTGGCGGGCATCATCAACACAACCCATTATTGAGGGGGTTCGTTGAGATGTGCTGCTATCTCAACATCGCAACGCAGCAGAGACGTCGTATTGCGGCTACAGACACTTGAGTGGTCGTAGCGGTACGTTGGTGTTGAGAAAGCGAGTGACGATTTTGTCCGGCTGTTACTGCCAGTGTATGTTGCTTGAGCACGTTGGCGGTGCGATATGACAGCGAAGCTACACGGAAGGGGTAGGGTTGTGGGTGCACCGGTTTCGAAGCGATGTATCGTGTCTTGCGACGCCATTGAGCCAACACTTCTCGTAGTAGTTTGACAATGACGAGAGCGATATGCTTCACTAAGACAGGCGTGTACAGACCCCACTTTTACGGCGCTTTTCCGTTGATTTCGTTGCTTCCTTCCGATCCTACCCAAACTAACGAGAATTCTAGGGTCCCGCAAGCACGAGTTGACAATATATTTCCTGAGTCATCGTACGGAGCACTTGACCGCTGTCTCTGGATTCTATGGGCGAATGCTGAACCGGAGAGACACCAAACAAAACACCTCTCTGCCACGAAAAAAACAATTTTTTCAAAAGTTGTAACATCAGTGCCATGCGACGAGCCCGGTTGCTTCGTTTCATGCGTGAATGACCCGGTCTTTCACTTTTCTTTTTCTCGTATTTGGGTCATGACAACGCAGTGCCACTCCAAGACGAACGAGATCCATTTTATCGCATCCGCCAAGGCGCTGGTCGCATCGTCACGAGTCGTGTCGTCGCCACTGACGCTGGCGCCATGGCACGCATCACCGACAGTTTCAGCGTTTCAGCTCACGCCCGTCAGTCTCTCGGCGTCCATTGGCTCGGGTCAAAGCGCCTTTGGCTACTATGTACAATACGACATGACGCTCCAGTGTCCGATCACATCCCGCGCCTGGACCATCCACAAGCGCTACTCGCAGCTGCTCAAGTTCCGATCGCAGTTGACGAAGCTTCACGCTGCGTCTCCGTCACCATCACTTGCTTGCCTCTTGCAACTGCCCTTTCCCAAGAAGGCTCTCGACTCGGAGAAGCCGAGCGTCATTGCCGAGCGCATGCAGCGTTTCCAGACCTTTGTCGAGCATATTTGGAGCTTGTACGCGAGCTGCGTGGTGCCAACCAGCGGCGCGCCAGAGGAAGCCGTTGCCGTCGTCGTTTGTCTGCGCGAGTTTCTGAGTGTGCCCGAGGCCGTGCTGGCCATCTCGGTGCGCCACATCGACGAGATGCCCCAAGACATGGACCCGTGCGTGGTGTGCTTGGGTGAGTTCGACGTTGACGACTTGCGCTGTCCGTCGGTGGTGCTGGCGCTGTCGTGCGGCCACGTGTTTCATCGCGATTGTCTTCAGCAGTGGTGTGCGGTGGCGGCCACGTGTCCGACTTGTCGACGTGACGTAGGCCATATGGTGTGCCTTGAGTTAGCGTTGTAGAAGCTCCTAAAGATTGCGACGCGCCGAAGTAAGAGCGATCGATTACTCATTTTACTCTACCGACTACTCTTGAGCGCTACATTTCTAAGAGCGATAGATGCCCCGCGTCACAACGACACGTCGGGCACGTTGCTGCGAGCACAAACCACTGCCGAAGACAATCTTGATGGAAGATGTGTCCGCACGCCAGCGCCAGCACCGTCGACGGACGGCAAAAGTCTTTCGCAGCAAACTCGGCTAAGCAAACGACGCATGCGTCCAACTTACGAGGTATGTCTTCAATGTGGTGCACCGAAATGGCCAGCACCGTCTCTGGCACGCTCAAAAACGCACGGAGACACGAGATGATGGCATCGACGTCTTCAGAGGCTTCGGTCATTGGCACCACACAGCTCACATACAAGCTCCAGATGTGCTCGAGAAATATTTGGAAGCGCTGCATGCGGTCGACAATGACGA